ATATATATATATATATATATATATATATATATATATATATATGTATCCCGTATTTTGTTGAGGTTGAACTTGAAATTTAGCTTTAGATCTATCCATTAATTGTGGTTCGGTAACTGGTGTGTTACACTTTTTTAATTTCTTTACATTACTCTACTGTCAGATCTGGGTTTAACAATAATCGACTCCAACAGAATTTAGAGATGCGTATATATTTGACATATTTTCAATCCATTAGCATCAATCCAGAATTAGAGGAGGTAATCTATTTCTTTTTTTCTTTAGCCAACTTCTTTATTCAAGAACAGATTCAGGAAACCCTAATTCGCACCATTGCAGAGAGATCTCGTGCGGGCACAATTGAGGTATTCGTTCGTAATCGCAGCGACTGGAAAAGATTGCAGTTTACAGGTTCATATTCGTTCTATTCCTGTTTAATTTAATTTCTGTAGTTTCTAATTGAACACAAAGATTGCATTTGGATGGATTTTGGATTGTTATCGTCGTTTTCGTTGTTATATATGGAAGTTTAGGGTTTGACAGTATATATAAAAATATGTATATGATGGTATATACATCTACAGAGCTTAAAGTAATACTGCACAGGTGTAATCAAACAGATGCCCACGCCTGCAATTTAGAAACTAAATGAGTTAATTCACCAAGCAGTAATATTTCAGATATTTCACTAAGTAATAGCAGAATCATGTCCTAAAGTGGTGTTATTTTGAGTTGCTAGATGTTTGATGATACCTGAAGGGCAACAACATTAGTAGGGAAACAATATATGCAGAATACCATTTCCCAAGGGCGTTTTTTCTTGGTCCTCGATGCACCACTGCACAATTCCCTATTATGTTGCCTAATTCTCCGCCGTGGATTCATCGTGAACCTAGAAAATGAGCACCAACTAATACATTTCAGGCAACCAGTCTAAACTAATCTATACTATATTATAAAGCATTTGACAAAAACTCTTAAAAACCACTTTTTATGCGTAAAATACTGTTTATTATTGCATATTACTTAAAACACAAGATTACAAGTATATTGTGCGTAAGTACAACTTATTAAAGCTCCATATCTGAATTCATGTAACTAACTGCAGATAAACATAATTAAATACAGAATAAACATCTCATTTTAAATATAAAAAATTTAAAATATAATTAGAATAATCATTGAGTTCCTAACAGAAAACTTAATTATTATCTTTTAAAATTTATATTATTAAACCAAAAATAAATTATTTCATTATTAAACTTAAATTAAATTATAATAAAAAAATCAAAGAAATTACATAAAAAAATAAAAACTTTTAGATAGTTGATTTGATATTAACATTGATATGTTTTTTTTTTCAAAATTTAATGATATATTCAAATTTATATTTTATTTAAAAATAAAATCATTATTGTTTTTTTTTAAAACACATAATCTATACTATATTATAAAGCATTTGACAAAAACTTTTAAAACCATTTTTTATGAATGAAGTACTGTATATTGATGCATATTACTTAAAACACAAGATTACAAGTATATTGTGCGTAAGTACAACTTATTAAAGCTCCATATCTGAATTCGTGTAACTAACTGCARATAAACATAATMAAATACARRATAAAYATYTYRTTTTAAATATAAAAAATCTAAAATATAATTAGGATAATCATTGAGTTCTAACAGAATACTTAATTATTATCTTTATAAAATATTATATTATTAAATCAAAAATTAATTATTTCGTTATTAGACTTAAATTAAATTATAATAAAAAAATAAAATTATCTGTACTATATTATAAAGTATTTGACAAAAACTTTTAAAACCATTTTTTATGAATGAAGTACTGTATATTGATGCATATTACTTAAAATTCAAGATTACAAGTAAGTTATGCATAATTCAACTTATTAAAGATCTATGTTTGAATTCATTTAACTAATTGTGGATAAATATAATCAAATAGAAGATAAACATCTTATTTTAAAATAAAAAAATTTAAAATATAATTAGGATAATTATCGAGTTCTAACAAAATAATTAATTATCGTCTTTATAAGAAAATTATATTATTAAACCAAATATAAATACTTCTTTATTTAACCTAAATTAAATTATAATAAAAAATAAAATTAAAAAATTACACAAAAAATAGAAATTTTAAATAGTTAATTTGATACTAATATCGATATAATTTTCTCAATTTTTTATGATACTCAAGTTTATATTTTATTCAAAAGAAAACATAATCGTTATTTCAAAATCACATAAGACTATACTATAACATCGGCTGAAATAAAAAATAAAATAAAATAAAATATTAAATCAAAATGTAACTTATTGCATTGTACGAGTACCCTTGTAATATAACGATAAGAAGTCTTTTGTTAATAATTTTTTTAAGAGACTTTACTCGTTAATTTATGTAAAGCAAGTGGATCAAATTAGTATTTAACTCAAACTGTATATTACCAGCAAAATTTCGAAATATATAGGATAGACGAAAACCTAAGAGGAGGAGAAATGGCGCATGGTGGCTACGACAAGCGCCGAGTCGCCGGACGGAAACCGGTGAATAAAGCTACCAATCACCGCCCAAAAGCCTTGGGCGTCGAGAAGAAACCAAAAGCCAAGCTCGGCTCTCTCAAGCGTCAGATTCGCTCCACGGAGCGTTTGCTCCGCAAGGTACAGTGTTTAATTAAAGGTTGTTTTAGAAAACGGAATAAGTTTTTGTGAGATTGTTGTACGAATACTATGGAAGACACAGTGCATATACATGAATTTGTCTTCTGTCCCAAAAAGGAGGAGCTGCACTTTGAATGTGTTAATGAGGCGGCATTTTTCGGCATTAAGATTGATGTGGATTGTATACTCTTTGAAGAAAATTCAATAATTGTGTAAAACTTTTTCGATAATAATATACATATAATGATATTATTATTGGTAGCGAAATCCATATAAGCTTGCATCAAAGAGCTAGATTCTGTTAAAGAGGAAGCCTTTTTAGATTTGAGTGAGTGTACATTAGCACTCAAGCATCCAATGCATTAGTTTCCAGAGCTTTCGCTTGGTAAGCCGATAGATATTGCAGAGTTTGATGTTTATATAGTGAAGGGAAAATCTTACAATTGATAGCAACATGAGTTTCATCTATAGCTTTTTTACTGATTGATTTTTGATGACAAATGCATATAGAGTGAGATGGAAGTTAAGAGTGATGCTTGTGGGATTGTTTGTAATCAATTGGGTTCAAATTTGTAGGTTATCCAGGACGCTTTTTATTATTGTAGATTAGAAAATTATCAATCTGCCACCTTATTCTAATAGGAGTAGTTGCTTAATTTGGTTTCAAATAAATTTTCTACCTTAGAGGAAACAATCTTTACTTCCTGAATTTAGTTATTTGGAAGAAACACAAGTTCGTTCTCATGTAGGTGTTCACATAGCTCTAGTATCCTCAATTCCTCACGAGTATTTTAGTTGCAGTTTAGATACCTTTGGTATATGTGTGGTACTAACACTCAAAACATCCATACAGCTGCTCACAGCCGCTACGATTTGGTAAGGTACAACCAAGTTAATTTCCTATTTCTAACCTACAGGCAGTAAATATGGGGTCACACCTTTTATCCCAGATAAGGTAGGGTAGGCTGAAGATGAACACCTAATAAAAATTACAGAGTTATAGTCCAACAAAATTGGGAAAAGGGTGAAAGCTGATGATTAACTTATATGCCAACTGGCTACTTTTAAAAGCAGAATAGCCTAAGTTCTGACTATAATTGGGCTATTTGTTAACTCTGTTTATGAAGAGTTGGTATTTTGATGCTAGAGAAGTTGGAATGGGTGCTTGTGATTTCCCTTGAATTGAGTTTATGGATTAAAATCTGTATCGAAGTTTGTAATATTAGGACTATTGATACATTGCAATTGATGAGGAAATGATCTATTTATTTGTTCTAGTGATCTTGGTGCTTCATTGGTTTTAGAAAATTATTTACTTAGAGAGAAATGATCTTAAGTCATGGATTGGATCAGGGCTGATATGTCTAAAGGTCACCCAAAGCTAGGAAATTTTGTTTAGGCCACCGAACTAAAGTTTCCCAAAGATGGGCCTCTAACCAAGCTGGTATTCTTCCAAGTAACCATAGATTGGCAGTCTAGCATTGCCAAGGCTAACTTCTGGAGCTGATTGCAAACAAAGGATATGAAAACATATGCTTGATCTTATTGATTTTCGTAGTTCAGGTGCCTGCAAGTTTATCACGGGTCACACAATATTTCTATAGGCTAATTAGTCCTAAGTGATCCTGTAATTGGCTATAAGGGATGGACTTAAGGTTGTTACTGTATCACCTTTCACATTTTTTTGCCACTCTTTTCGAAGGAGGTCTTGGGAGGTTAAAAATATGTTACTCCACGCTTACTGTTGAAATTCTTCTCTACAATAACTACAACAACCTGTTCTTGTGGAATATATTTGTGAAGTATATATCTGATACTTGATTAATGTCTTCAAATATATTTTTGTCTACATGATCAATGTACATTTGATCTTTTTGTATTTGATGGAATAAGCATACATTCTGCTTTTCTTGATATAATGAAGGACACAAGGCCTGAAGTCAAGGAAGCCCTGACAAAAAAATTAGAAGGGCTGAAGAATCAACAACAGGTTCAGGACAATCTGGCTTTGGAACGTAAAATATTCTTGCGTGACAGAAAGATCAAATTTTTTGGTAATAAATTTTCTCATCCATAAAGTTCACACATTGTATGTTTTACATTTGTGAGAGGCATGTTACATGTTCTTTATTATTAATGCTTGTTTCAGAAAGAAGGAAGGTTGAGCGAAGAATAAGACGCTTAGAGAAACAACAACGAGCATCATCTGGTCAGGCTCAAGAACCTGAGATTGTTGAGCAGCTCTCAAGATTGAAAGAAGATCTCGAGTACATTAGGGTAAGCTGTATAATTGTATCCCGTCCACACTCTTCCTCTTTTAAGCAAGCATCGATATGAGGTAGATTGGGTTCAATCTTGCTACTATAGGATTTCTTGCTTATACTTACTGTAATACAAATGCACACCCATATCATATGGATGCAACACACACATATAATGGATGTATTCTCTTTTAACAATACACAGAGACTAAAGATACCATTTTCAAAACTGCAGTTTTTCCCTAAGACAGAAAAATATGTATCATTATTTAAGAAAGGTGACAATATGGACACTGTTGATAAGAGAAACAGCTTACGCACACAGATCAAGGCAAATATAGCTGCTGCTGTAGCTAGTGGGAAGGATTTGGAAGGTAGTTTCTCCTTTTTCTCTTTCTGTTCTTTAAAAGTTATGTAATACTCTTGTTCTGTATTTGGGGTCACTAATTTGTTTCTACGTAGCTTAATTCGTCGACAGATATATCAGTATACAGCCAGCAGGCAATTTTAATATCTACATTGTTAGTATTGTCTATCTGTCTTGAGCTATGGTGAATGTGGGATATTATGGCTTTTATCTTCAGATATTGGTAACAAACAATTTTGATAAATTCTTTGTTATATAATGCAAAAATTATTTTAAGTCACCTATAACCCACCGTCTCATAGATAATCAGGCAACATCAATCACACATATTTAGAGGTTTCTATTCTAATGCATCTTTAAATTGTTGGTATATATCTGTAAATTGGCATAACGTATAGATGCATTCTTGAGTTTTGTATTATGTTTGGTTGATTTAAAATGGGATTGTAATATATGAAAATTTCCTTATAATTACCATAGTGAAACTCATTGCTGGATTAGAGTATTGGTAGAAGACTCCTAATAGATAGTGATAAGGTTACCTTGTTCTATTCTAACTAATGAGTTGATCCCTAGGAGAGGGGCTTTAGTCACAAACTCCCCTCCCCCCAAACAAAAAACTATATACATAAATATATTAATCAATCATCATTGAGAGATGATTGACTAGAAGATCAAGCCCCTTGAGTTTAAGTCAAGGCATAATGGCATTGTCTTCTCTTAAAGTTCATGTAAGCAATTACTTGCTATTGAATTGAATTGAATTTCCTATGTTGTATTACACGAAGTGTTGGACAATGAAGAAGCACGTGAGAGGAAGATGGATGTGGCTGAAATGAGGATGGTAAGTATTTTTGGCCAGACCATGCTAGAGAAGATATTGAAAGAGATTTTTCAAGTAGATTTGGGATTAGCACCCATCACTATAACACCCTAGTTTCTATATTTCTTAGATTTCAGCGTTTTAAGCCTTAAATACAAGTATTATGATCAAATTAAGTGCATTAAAAAGGCCCCAACAACATTAGCATCTTTAAATCATCATATTTTAAATGACAAATAGCTAACAATTAGCTTACAAGGCAAACTTTGAGAATCAAACCTATATACTTGACAAAGCAAGTTTAGTAAGCATGACAAATCAAGCTAGTTATGAGTTGTTGAGGTTAGAAGTATGTCTTAGGTAAAATAATTGATGACAAAGCAAGTCTAGCAAGCATGACAAAGCAAGCAAGTTATGAGTTGTTAAGGCTAGAAGTATGTGTTGGCAAAATAATTGATGACAAAGCAAGTCTAGTTATGAAGTATGTGTACTGTTGACAAAGTCATTGATGACAAAGCAAGTCTAGTAAGCATGATAAATAAGAGCTAGAAGCATGATGTGTCAAGATTCTTCTATCTTAAGCATGAGGTGTTAAACTCTCATGAAAGTACAACCATGAGAGCAAGAAGAACAAGTAGTTAATATATTGTAATCACCTATAAATAGTGGTTGAAATGAAACCATTATTTCCATACGAAAGTACGAAAACACTCTCAATATAGTGCCAAGTTCGAAGTGAGAAATCAAAAGAAAAGCTAAATGCAAAACAAGGTGAGTACGTTATGAGATTTACTAAGATACATATATGCTATATAAATGTATTTTTGGCATTATGAAGAATTTGATAAGATGTTTTGTCTTGTTTGCTTTACATGAAATGAGGATACATTAATATAGCCAAGATATATGCATTTTATATGTGTTTTACACATAACGCATGAAATTTTATTGTATATCATGTATGATCATAAATATCCAACGTACGGGATATAAAATGAAGGGACGTCTTGCAAATGGGTCTTATGGGGGCAGCCTTTATGGACTCCGGGGTTAGCAAACCTCAAGGCAAGTATGGCATACTTACATGTTGCATGTGAGATCTTAAAAGGGTATTTTATGATGATAAAGAGATTTATTGAATTATTATTCACAAATTGGTAAGTATTATGAAAATTGTTTATTCATGAAACCATAACTATTCACTAAAGCTTAAGCTTACATTTTCCATGTATGTCATCTTATTTCAAAGGAGTAAAGGGGGATGGCATGAAGTAGTACTATTCTAATCAATAGCAAATTTTGTTGTATTATAAGTTATCAAGTTACGTTTCCGTTGATGTTTCATCTTTGATGTAATAGTAAGATATGAAAGAAATAAAGTTAAATTTAGATCGTGTACTAGACTTGGTAGTATCAGAAGAAGGTAACGACACCCGATGTTGCTACTCTTTGTATCATCCTATAAATTTTTGACACAAATTTTTAATGGAAATATACAGAAACTGGGAGTGATGATGATGGGCTGGATTTAAGTGAGGACGATTTCTTTGTAAGCGGAAGCTCAAGTGATGAGGCTGATGCAGACGATGAATGGACTGATAAAAGTGCAAGGTTTGAACTAGTTATTACATAATATTTGTGGTTCTTGTTCTACCAGTAGAACAGTTACCATTGATTCCAAAACATCAAAGAGTACGCTGTCAAGAGTCAAGAGTGTGGCTGATGGTTCTTTATCCTTACTAATCATGGGGATGATAAATTTTCCTAATCTAGCTATATACAAATATTTATAAATTTGCTTACTTTCTGTAATAATCCTGAAATTAATAGCATCACAAAATCTGTTTTCAAAAAGAGGGTTTAAAGCCAACTTTTGACCTACCTGGATCTGGTCCAATGCCCTGATTGTCAGTAGCTATGTGATATTTTGTGTTTAAGAGCTAAAAAGAAATGTATACAAGTCGATTCTTTTGCTCATGGCGTGCAGGGAACAAGCATCTAGTGCTTCTGGAAAAGCAGCTTCTGGTATGTCAAGCGATGAACGAAATCAGGTTAGCTTGCTGAAATCCCACATTTTTCAAAGGTTTATTTTTTATTTTCCTATTTTGATTTGCTCATCTTATTAACATGGATGCCAAGCTTATTGTCCCCTTTGTCCATAAACATTTCAACTACCTTTTGTAAACTGGTATTAGACTTCTACCTTTTGTAAACTGGTATTAGACTTTGTCTTCGCCACTGACACAAGGTCCATTTGACTTGACATGCCATGCGCAATCGTCTACGTTATCAAATGTTACAATATCAACAACTTACATGTCAAAATATTGGAAATTTTGAAACTTTATTACATCGATTGAGAAAATATTATTCGCAAAACCAAACTTTGTTTTAGAAAGCGCATGAATACACTAAATCCTTGGTTTTTTAATTTGAATATGTTATAGAGACACATTTCGGCTCGTGCTCTTATGCCTCCTCCGCGGGCATCAAATGGTTCTAGTGCAGTTCATGTTAAATCCCGATACAGTAACTCGTTCAACAAGAACTCATCCTTTCGTAGGCGTGATATGTCGTCATCCAGCAATACATCAACTAGTGTCGACCGGCCTTCTTTCGAAAACCGAAGACCATACATACACACGGGTAATAGTAGTAGTAACTTGAGTTCCAACTCAGATGCACGAAAACCGAAAAGGAAGAGGCGGCCTAAGAAGAAGAAACAACAAGGGTGATGGTTGGTGTTTAATTGCAAATGTTGTTTTGTTACTATAATCGACACGAGGATTTTGTGATTTTGATTCTCTACAGGGTAAACAAATCATATATGGACTCATTCTAGTGTTATCTTTTGATCTCAGTCGGACAATATGCTCTTCCAGTTTTCTCAATGTGACTTTGATGCAATGTCAGCTTTATTTCAAGTTAATTACCCCAGTTTGGTGAGATTTGGTTTGCAATGAAACCAAATCCTGTTGGGCTGGGGATTCCCGGTAAAATTGGGTAATGGGTACGAGCCACTGATTCCTGACATGTTGAAAACTGATGTCGGGTAATGTATTCCTCAACCCTCTACTCCCGTATGTATATATATTAATTGAAACTAGTGGTGTACCCATGCGATGCAGCGCGTGTAAATCACAATTCGGAAACATTAGTTTGGCCTTGAATCATGAGTTTGTTTGGTTATTTTACAAGTCAACTAATATATAAAATTGAAAGTTAATACGGTGTATTAGCAAAATCGAATGAAAAAAATAATTGCACACATTTGGTTTCTGAACCTATCTGTTCAGAGCTCATTACAAAACTTGAAATTCTTGATTGTACAAAGAATTACAATCGTTTGTAAATAATGTTCATTCGTATATCCAAATTGTTGTTTGTTTTTCGTGATGCACTTATCGGTAAATATTTTCTGCGAAAAAAAGGGCACAATGGTTTTAATAGAAACATAAGGTACCAAATGTGTAATAATATATGAGACACCCCAAATCCACACATTGCATATAACACATATTTCACACATAGAATATATGTTTGACCCACATAGGTCCTTGATACAAGAGTCTGTAATATAAAATACACAACCCAAAAATTCCAAAAGTACAAGTTCTTGCATCCTAGCATATATGCTTCCAAAACAGCTAAACATATAGAGATGTAATTCACATAACACCATTTCCTTTATAATCATTACCTACACACATAATTTGAAAACACGAAAATGAGGGTTAGACATGAATGTCTAGTGAGGTTCCCTTCTATGTAATGCAGGGTGAGGATCACCAAAATATTTATTTCAAATCAAAACATTTTATGAAGCAAAACTGAAAACATACTGCTTTGGTTCATCGGGCCTCTGGTCTCAAACAACACTTAGAAAATATTTTGACAACAAGGACCAGAGCCCCTCTGGTCTCTCTACCAGAGCTTCTGTTCTTCATGACCAGAGCCCCTCTGGTTTCACTAAATCACACTTAGATTATATTCCAACACAGGACCAGAGCCGCTGGTCTCTCTTCCAGAGCTTCTGGTCTTCATGACCAGAGCCTCTGGTTGCACTAACCAAAACTTTACTCATAAAAATGATCTTTAATTAAACCTTCAATCCATAAACAATGCCTTTTTCATAAAACAAGTACTTATAAATAACTCATGTTCGACCAGAGCCTCTGGTTGTACTAACCAGAGCTTCTGGTTCAAAAGACAAGACCAACCAGAACCCCTCTGGTTCAATACTCAACCAGAGCCCCTCTGGTCTGTTTTTCATAAAAAGACTAAGTATAAAGAATCTTTTGAAATAATATTTAAAAACAAAGATTTAAAGCACTAAGCTTGCTTCTCAAAGATATAAAGCTTATTTTCCAAACTCATAAGTTCATAAAMGACTTTGCAAAATGAATTAGAATCCAGTATCCTTTGATTCTATTATGAGGGTMAATCAGAGCCCCTCTGGTCCTTGCAAGGTAYAACCAGAGCTCCTCTRTTTCCTCATAAKCAATGCTTTTACCCAAAGCATCAACAGTCACGAATTATATGATCTCCAATACCATCACATCATTACCATCATTTCTACTAAAGACAACATCTCTAAATCCTCAAATCACTAAGAAGTGAGAACTMCAATHTGTTGTAACTCTAATAGTTATCATGGTAAGAGTTAGAACATGCCGAGAACGTYCCACCTTATATCCTCCAGATTGTCTCCTTTACATGATATTCCACCCTTATATCCTCCTGCTAATTAATATGAAGTAGTTCATCCAAAGACAGTCCTCTGTTACCTGTCAGAGTGAACCTATTCATAATCCTCAAACCATATCATGGTTCCAACATAGGTTTATACCCAAAACCTATTATTCTCAAGAACAATCTGTTCTTCCAAAACAGTTTAAAACTCTTGTTTTTCCACAAACTCTTTCAAACTGTTTTAAAAACCCGGATACTGTTTAATTCTTTCCAATACAGTTCCAAAATAGATTCAAACAGCAACTTCTCAAGGCTGTTGAAGAACACAAATATGTTTCATATTTATCAAAACCAGATTCTAAAATAACATCATCATAAAACTGTTAAAAACAGTTTATCATCTTAACCTCAAAACCAATAAAACTTCACAATTTATATCAAAGGTAGTTTTAAAAGAAAACTCACAGTTTATACTCAACAGTAGTTTAAAACTCACCTTATCAAACAGATTCTTTGAAGATAATCACACAGCAAAAGCTTTAATCTTAGCACAGAGTCTTCAAGAATACTTTAACTCACACACATGTTCTTTTCTAAGAGAGTGACAGTGATAAGGATAACCTTATCAAACTCTTCTTTAAATACTCTCACCAAAGCGGTGGAGGATTTTAATAATAAAGCCTTAATGGCGATGAAAGCTTTTGGTCCAATAGAAATAATCTTTGGGCGGTGGTTTTGTATTATAAAATTCATGATTTCTTAACCATGAAGTCATAATAATTTCACCCAAATAAATAAACTCAATAAACACCACCTCATGCATGCTTCATACTACATGCATCCACGTATAATTCATATATGTCATGTGATCTTTGCATATATACACATACACAATATCATGCACTTTAATTTAGACATGTATATTTCACGTAATTCACATAATAAACATATATAAATTACCTCAACCCAGGTTATGTGAAACCCGGTTATAACATTCTCTCCCCCTTAAAAAGAATTCCGTCCCGGAATTTATTCAAACAACCATGGATATTTTTCTTTCATTTCTGATTTTAATTCCCATGTTGCTTCTGATCCTTTGTGAAATCGCCACTGTACCCTTACTAAGCTTATTTCCTTGTTTCTCAACACATGGATTTTGTGGTCAGTTATGGCTTCTGGAGTTTCTACAAAATTTAATTTGTCATCCAACTTAATCTCCGGAAGTGGTATAGTCATACTAGGATTAGCAAGACATTTCCTTAGGTTTGACACATGGAAAGTATTGTGAATCAGACTAAGTTCCTCTGGTAACTCCAATTGGTAGGCTACTGGTCCAACTCGTTTACAGATTTTGAATGGGCCAATAAATCTTGGACTGAGTTTACCTTTCTTCCCAAATCTCATAAATCCTTTCTAGGGAGAAACTTTCAACATCACTAAATCATTTACGCAGAATTCAATCGATTTTCTGCGCTTATCTGCATAGCTTTTCTGACGATCTTGAGCTGTTTTGATTCTTTCCCGAATCTGATCAATCTTTTCAGAAGTAACTTGCATAATCTCAGGGCCTGTTAATTGTTTCTCACCCACCTCATTCCAACATACAGGGGTTCGACATTTCCGACCATACAACACTTCATATAGTGCCGCTTTGATACTGGAATGATAGCTATTATTGTATGCAAATTCTATTAATGGAAGATGATCTTTCCAAGATCCTCCAAAATCTATGATGCAAGCTCTTAGCATATCTTCAAGTGTCTGAATCGTTTTTTCACTTTGACCGTCCGTTTGAGGATGATATGCTGTACTTAATCGAATTTGAGATCCTAATGCCTTTTGAAAACTTTCCCAGAATTTTGATGTAAATYTGCTATCTCTGTCCGAAATGATAGATAGTGGAACTCCATGTCTTGTCACAATTTCCTTAATATAAATCTGAGCCAACTTTTCTAAAGAATAACTCTCTTTCATCGGTAAAAAGTGCGCAGATTTGGATAAACGATCCACTATTACCCATATGACATTATATCCTTTTGGGGTTCTGGGTAATTTCATAATAAAATTCATTGTAATATGATCCCATTTCCAAACAGGAATTTCTAAGGATTGCAGTTTTCCATAGGGCCTCTGATGCTCTATCTTTACTTGTAGGCATGTCATACACTTCTCCACATACCTTGCTATGTCTTTCTTTAGTCCTGACCACCAATAAAAAGTTTTCAAATCCTTATACATTTTATTAGTACCTGGATGGATGGAATATCGAGATTCATGGCTTTACTTCAGAACTTTATCACGAATATTTCCATAAAGTGGTACCTAGATTCGTCCTTGAAAACATAGTATTTCTTTGTCGTTCTTCTCTAAATTAGCAATCATTTTTCCCAAATTTTTCAGTTTTCCAGTGACCCTCTTTAACAGCCTCAACTTGACACTTTTGAATATCTGTATACAAATCTGGTCTCACATCTATTTTCATTGCCACGACTTTGATAATTCCTCCTTTTTCTTTTCGGCTTAACGCATCAGCTACAACATTAGCTTTCCCCGGATGGTAAAAAATTTCACAATCATAGTCGTTGACTACTTCTATCCATCGACGCTACCTCATGTTTAACTCTTTTTGGTTGAACAAATGCTGAAGGCTTTTGTGATCCGTATAAATCTTGCACTTTGTTCCCAGCAAATAGTGCCTCCAAAATTTTAAGGCGAATACCATAGCTGCTAATTCCATATCATGTGTTGGGTACTGTTTCTCGTGATTTTTCAATTGTATTGATGCATATGCAATTACCTTTCCCTTTTGCATTAAAACACAGCCTAAGCCAAGTTTCAATGCATCACTATAAACAATGAAATCTTCTGCTCCATCGGGTAAAGATAAAACTGGTGCGCTACACAAGCGATCTTTCAAGGTTTGAAACGCCCTTCTTTATTCTTCAGCCCAAAGAAATTTGATATCTTTTCAAGTCAACTTGGTCAGAGGTACCGCTATTTTTGAAAAGTCTTTAATAAATTTGAGATAATAACCGGCCAAGCCTAGAAAACTTCTGACTTCTGAAGGGTTTCTTGGTGCATCCCATTTTTCTACTGCTTCAACTTTTGATGGATCCACTTTGATTCCTTCTTGTGACACTACATGGTCAAGGAATTTAACTTCCCTTAACCAAAACTCACATTTCGATAACTTGGCATACAACTTCTCTTTCC